TCTTCTTCATTGGAGTTTTACGGCAGTTGGCATCCATAGTGTTGCATTACTGCCATCTGCTGTCTCACTTTAACTTACTATATCTTAATTAAATTCGTCCTTCCAGTCCAGTCCTCCTTAGAAAATTAAACAAATATCTCCGTCCTTGGTCACTATTTCCATATGTTACTATATTTTTAACATTATACTCTACTATACCTATTTCTTTGAATTGATTCTTTTTCTTCTGTTTTATGGTGGGTAGCACCAGCGTTAAGGTGCATTATCGCCACCTTCAGTGTTGGAGTGTGGACCAAAGTTTACTTATTTCATAAAAGAAACCCTTCGTTCTCTTTATCAGTTCTGTACTTTTGAGATAAAGAAATAAGCTCTCTAATCCATAAGTGATTATACTTTTTTTTAGCTTCATTCCTCCCACTCCCACCTTTCTAAGTTCCTTCTTCATTGTTTCTTTTTCATTAAAATACTTTTGACAAACACATAGATGTTCCACTGACTCCTCTTGTGGCAAACATATAAATCATGATTATAACTTGTGTACCCGCCTTTTGTTTTCGCTTGACAACCAAATTTAGCTGCAGTGTGTACGTGGCCAATGAGCAATGATGACTTGCATTTATGCTACATACGTACTCTAGCTCAGTGAAATTTGTTGGATGAAGTTGTCAAAACTTGCAAAGACTGATGTAAACTGTTGCATAAATTTTTTTTAAACCCAAAACATTTGTTTTTAGGGAATAGACAAGTTTAATTTCCTCTATTAAAGGATGTTTATTTGTTGTCTGAAGTCCTGAATTAGTTCTGAGGTATCAGAGTCTGGTATCATACTGAAGGCAAAATTGGGATCAGTCCAAACCAAATTGGGGTATGCAAACAAACCCATATGACCTTGCGCTAGTCCTGTCCCTCATGTTAGCAGAGTCTTCTTTCCTTTAAGCGAGGAAGTTCCTGCCCTTTATCATCAGGAAAGGGAGAGAAAAATAGACAAACTGAGTAAGAGAGAGGCTGTTGTGAGAGTTTGGTAACTTAAATCACACTGAATCTCCATTAGGAGTTTCAGCATGCGAGTCAAAGCTGAGAGTGTTGTGCTGAGATAGGGAGAGACCCTCTTTCCCTTCACGCTCACGTCACGTAACAGCCTGAATTCACATTCTGTGATACACTGCTGCACTAATAGTCTGCTTGGGTGAACTTGACATTAGTGGATATAAATTTAATGCAGTATTTGAGTGTGACAGGCAGCTGCACAGGTGAAAATTACAGCTTGATTAAAAGGTGAGCATTCATGAGAGCTAAACAATTTAAAGTGCAGTTCTGTTCCTATTGTACCCTGCAATGCAGCTCACCCGTCCTGCACAGATCATCACCTCAAAAAAATCTTGAAAATGGAAATTATTTTCTTTCTCATTTTCATGTGTTTATTACATTTAACAAGAAGTGTCACTGCTAAAACAGTCATATTTTTGCCTTGTTTTTAATTTGAAAACAGGTAAACACCCTTAAAACAAGATAGTCAAACAAAAGAATATAATAAAATATTGTCAATTTGTATTTTTTTAAGCATTAATCTTACAAAATGTCGCTGTGGTTTATTATATTATATTATAATATGTTATTTATTATATTGTTAAAAAATGTGGTTGGTAAGTATTTTTTAATGTTTTTAATGTCTCTTATGCTTACCACGGCAATATTTACTATATATCAAAAATATAATCATATTTTGTGATATTGTGAAAAATTATTACAATTTTAAATAACTGTTTTATATTTGAATATATTTTAAAATGTAATTTATTCCTGTGATGGTAAAGCTGAATTTTCAGAAATGACTTCAGTCTTCAGTGTCACATGATCCTTCAGAAATCATTCTAATATGACAATTTGATGCTCCAGAAATATTTCTTATAATTATCAGTGTTGAAAACATCAGTGCTGCTTAACATGGAAAATGTGATATTTTTTTGAAATCGTTTGTAACATTAGGAATGTCTTGACTGTCACTTTTGATCAATTTAATGCATCCTTGCTGCATAAAGCACATGCTGAAAATAAATGAAGTGTTTTGTTATTTTTATTGGAATAAGGAAAAGAAAACTTGAAAGCTTTTTCTGATGAGAAGGTTTGACCAGCAGGGCATAGTAGACAGGAGACGTCAGTTGCTACCTGTTTAGTGAAAGTTTCATTCTTGTTTCATGTCATTCTCAAGTCACAGCAGGGTTCAGGAAGCAGACAGATCTAGCTATAAATTATTTCTAACTGTCAGCAAGAGAACAGACTTCAGAGATCTTATGAAGCAGGAGGTAGAGTATACAGACATAAGCCTATTTTGTTAGCATGGAGATCAGTCAGGTGCTGTGCTCACAGATGAGCATAGACTGTTCGACAGTCTTCTGTAACATCTTGCCCACTTTTCAAAGACAGTGTATGAAATGATGTTTTTTCCCCTCTTCCAGGTACAAGGGCTTCATAAAAGATTGCCCGAGTGGTCAGCTTGATGCTGCAGGTTTCCAGAAGATCTACAAACAGTTCTTCCCCTTCGGCGACCCCACCAAGTTCGCCTCATTTGTCTTCAATGTTTTTGATGAGAACAAGGTGAAGTGCACATCACTGTTAGGGTCTTGCACAGCAGAATTTCTTTAGGGCTGGAGACATTCTGTCTCTCTCTTTGTCTGTTCTTTACTTAGGCCAGTGATCCTTGATTTTATCGCAAAAGGTCACCAGGTCATTGCATTTTTGGTGGCTAGTATAATATATATATATTACATACTTACAATATGTTTTGCTTATTTTCATGTGTATAGTTTCATGTCAATCTTGTCATTTAAATCAATTGCAAATCAAGTTTCGAATGCAGAGCGATATTTGTAATACACATGGAGTTGTCTATATAGAACATTCTATATCAGACACTTATGAGGTTCCTTTACTGTTAGGATGCTGCCTATGTAGACAGCAGACTGCGAGAGACCTCAGGTTTTGCAACAGAGCATGTATGTATATGGATGGGAGGTGAAAGGTTAATTATTCTCACTCTCTTGCGAATTGTGCTCTGTTTCTGTTATTAATTATTCATTATATAGCCTCAATTTGTTATCTATGCAATCTGTAATGTGATTAGGAGCCAGTTAGCCCTGCCAGATAAGAGTCGTCTGGCAGCCAAACCACTTTCAGAGATCACACACAGTCAAACTAGTCCCTATGTTTATTTATAGGTTTTGAAAGGCACCGCTGTTAGTGAGAGACATTAGTCTTGGCCTTTGTTTGCTCTTTTCTAGTAATCTGTACCACTGCAGTGCATTTCACCTCAGATTCACTTTCCCAGCCACCGTCTCATGGTCAGTGTTCTGGAGATGTTATCAGTCTGGGCTTGTAAGGAACTGCAGTGATGTCTTAAAGAACAGACTCTGTAGTCTTACTCTAGAACAGAGGTCAAAGAGACACAAACCCTGCCTTCCTTGAATTTGTGCTCCATTATTTTGACAACAGCATGAGTTTAGCATTTTGAGTGTCTGTTCCTGCAAGTTACCAGTCTTATTCTATGAAATGACATTTGTGTTATCCTTTTTCACATTTAATTATGTTACAGCTGTGCAATGTAAAAAATATAAAAACTAAGAAAATAATTAAATATATATTTCACCCCAAAATGTAAATTCTGTCATAATTTACTCTCCTTCAAGTTGTTCCAAACCTGTATGAATTTCTTTCTTCTGCAGAACATAAAAGAAGATATTTTGAAGAATGTGTGTAACCAAACAGTTGATGGTCCCCAATATATTTCCATAGTATTATTTTTCCATACTATGGAAGTCAGTGGGGACCATTAACTGTTTGATTACCCATATTCTTCAAAATGTCTTCTTTGATGTTCAACCAAAGCAAGAAACTCATACAGGTTAAATGATGACAGAATTTTTATATCGGGGTAAACTATTCCTTTAATCAGGTTAGATGCCATATTGAATTTAACACGGATGAAAACGATATACTTACGATAGGCTTACAATCTGTATAATGATTCACACTCTATAAAGGTTTTAGATCATGTAATTTTCACAACTCGCAACTTTGAAAACTGAAAAGTACTGAACGTTTTTTTTTTTTTTGCTGAACAATCGGTATGTTATGGAAGCCCGTTTCTGCCACTGAATAAAAAATAAAAAAGATCATTGCGACTTTTTATCTCACAATTCTGACTTTTTTCTCAGAATTGTCATATAAACTCGCAATTCTCACTTATTTTCTCTCAGAATTGTGAGATATAAACTCGCAATTCTGACTTTTTTCTCAAAATTGTGAGATATAAACTCACAATTATGAGTTATAAACTCACAATTGCGGGAAATAAAGTCAGAATTGCGAGATATAAACTCGCAATTGCTAGTTAAAAAGTCCAGTTCTGAGGAGAAAAAAAGACTGATATGTTGCCAGAATTGCGAGTTTATAACTCACAATTCTGACTTACTAAGGTGCAATTGTGAGTTTATATCACACAATTCTGAAAAGAAAAAAAAATCTGAATTGCTAGTTTATATCTCGCAATTCTGAGAAAAAAAGCAGTTACCTTTTTTAAAGGGGTCATATGATGCTTTTTTAAAGATCATTATTTTGTATATTTGGTGTAACAGAATATGTTGACATGCTTTAATGTTCAAAAAACACATTATCACAATCAGCTTGTAACACTCCAAAGAGAAAGGAAAACTTGAAATCGCATCATATGACCCCTTTAATTTTTTTTCAGTGGCGGAAACAGGCTTCCATAGTATGTTGTTAAACAACAGTAAAATCCATTAAAGTCACCATGAAATCAAAATTGAAAATTCTTATTTTTTAATGGAATACTGTAGTGTTTATTATAAATAATTTTTCTGTGCATTATTTTTTTTTAATTCATGTGCCCTCATAATCTTTAATCAAAAACGTTAACCTCCCCTCCCCCTCAAAACGACTCATCTTCTCTCCCGGTCACGAGCTATGGTGCAAGGGTGGAGCTAGTGACGTGAGGGAACTACAGGGGGAAAAGCTGAAGCTGATGCTTCACTTTATAGCACTGACACCAGTCATGAGGGAGTACGTTACCCCTAAACATTGAAAAGATATTAGGATATTACGACAACATTACTCTCAGGACATCGCAAACTAATTTTTTTCAAAAATATGACTTATGTTAACCTGATGGAGGATGCACTCAGTAATTCAGGCAGTCTCTCTCTCTCTCGCGCGCGCTGTTAGGCATGTTTTGTGCCGTTGATCGTCGTCGTCATCCTTAATAAATAAAACATTTATTCATGCTTGGGTGTCGGCTGTGAATCCAGTGGAGAGAAATCCCCCACCACTAACTGCAAACTGGCATTCAGATCTGCCTCCATTTTGTTTGCAACGCCCCACCTTCCAACGATCCAATCAATTCCCGAAGGACGAAATCAAGTCCCGCCCTCTCATTTCAGATGCTGTTTCACTTGGATATACGTCACAGCAGAGAAGAAAAGACAATCGTAACTTCCGTTTCATGCCGACTTTAAATGCACTATACTTCAGATTGTGTAGTTTCAGCATCTGCCTGCAGGGGCTAATAGGGTCATGATGATGAGCCAAACCTCAGCACCTTTATGTGACTGGAACAATAAACTTGACTTGACCTGAACCCAGTGCTTAATTTGAGCCGGATCCTGCCGGAGCCTGTTCCGGAAAATGTCAGATTTTGGATTTTTGCGTTCCGGTGTTTGTTTTTAAAGATCCGGCATTAACAAGTGCATTAGAGTGCGTGCAAGCATATGAGACAGAGCGATTGCGGGTTTATGTAGATGTATTTGGAGCATGATTTGTAGATGATGTATTGGTCCTCAGCATATTTTTGACCAATCAGCTTTCTTAAATTCAAAATCGCTCTTGTTGATTGGTGCTACGGCCCACTCTCTCCAAAAGTTCCGCTGCTCAAAAAACAATAATTTGTTTTGTGAGCAGCGGAACGTTTTGAGAGAGTGTAATAATACCAGAAATAATACCAAATAAAGTGAAATATTATAATGTATAAACATTATAAACACTATAAACATAGCCTAGTTCCCCTCACTCCAAAACAAATCATTTAAATGTAATGGCATGCAGAACAGATCAAGAATGAAATATATATATATACAGTATATAAAGCTAAAGAAACAAAAACAAAGCAAACTGAAAGTACCGTTGGGCTCATGTACCTCTCTCATTCGGCACAAATCTAAATGTTTCCATATTCGCAATGAATTTCAATGTTAAACTATTATTTATAATGTAGACTAGGCTTCATGCACGTTCGTATATCGACGGAAAAAATTATCCTCTTCACATGCGCAAAAATGCGCATGGCATAACAGCTGTAGACCGGTTATACTACGGACTCTTTAAATTGATCAGTGTAACCTTTTATATGTTTGGCTGACTGTATTTTATTTTGATAATGAACAGACTGCGATGGCAAGTTTGAATTGCTAGAATACGTAGTGTGTGTGTGTGTGTGTGTGTGCGAGGTGTCGGCACGATCAAACAGCTGAAACATTAAATACTCAATTTTTGGTCATACAGATAAGAGTAAGACAAACTGCAAAGTGTTTACTTTTATTTTTGCACACTCACAATAAAAACAGAACATTTGTGTTTTTGTAAAATATAGCAAACAAATAAGATGCGCGTTGTCATCTCGGTTCTCGGTTTCCTTTCTGTGAACTTGTTGGTGGATCGCTGCACCTCACATATCTGTTAATTATTTATGTCAGATATATTTAGCATATTTACACCTTTTCAATATAGATTATGATTGTATTTTATTTTTATGAAAACAAATTTTGTTATTTTGAATGTAACTAACATATATTTTCCTTAAATCATCCTGGCGACCCATTTTTGACCCAGGGTTTGAAAACCTAGGCTGTATAGTTAGGTCCATGCAGAAACTTGTGAACGATGCTCTTATAGTTGTGGAATCAAAGTTTAGTGACGTCATTGAATGTTCCGGGAAAACTGAAGTTGTATTGTCAGTGTCGGTCACGGCGCCTTTTTACTGCTGATTTGGATCCGGCAATGTTTCATTTACAAATTAAGCACAGCTGAACCCCACTTTGTGCGGTTTCAAGGAAACACTAAACCCTTATGACCATGTAACATTCAAGCAGATCATATAAAATGCAAGTCTAGGCAGGGATATAAGTAATGTTTTATGTTGTGGAATACAACTCTGAGCATAATGAAAGCCATCATTAAAAGTGAGATAAAAGATTAAATAAATGGCTGTCCTCCAAAATGTAGTGCTCTGAATAGTGGAAGTGTAGTAGGGCAGTAACAGTAACTGTTGTTGTTCTCCATGACAGACTGCATGAGACAGCGAAAGCAAATACACTCACAAATGTGACTCATAAGGAAGGGTGGCAAGAAAGTTGAGTCACCTAGAGTTTGCCCGAGGCAGATAGGAAATGCAACAATTTGGTTTAATGAGATTCTGTGGTTTGATGACACCAAACTGAACCTTTGAACCTCAAGGCTGTATTTGACTGAAACGTAACACTGCATGCTAGATTCAGGTTTATAGCAAGAACTGGAAAACTCATAATGTTGAAAGGAAAATGGATTGAGGTAATACAGAGGAATTCAGTAGGTAAACATGAATTTGATTCTTGTTCCATCAGTGAGTGAGAATATACAGTAATAGCTACATTGTAGGTAATGTAGCTATTATTTTTATTGTATCTTTAAGCTACTTTAGTACTACATTGTAGTAATTTATAAATTGTTTTATGTTTTATACATTTATTTATTAATATTAGGAAAATTTACTAATTTGTATTATTGTTTTCTGGTTTTTTTCTGTTTTTAAATATTATTGTTATTATTTAGCTTGGCATGGGAAGTTGTTTTTTTTATCTTTTATTCCTGGAGTCTCTGTAGTAAAGAAAAAAGTAAGAAGTAAAGCAACATGCAGGATGCTTGATGCATGTTATAATGTTGAAATCTGCTTTATAATGGGTTCTTATTAGATTATGAATAGTTAACTATCAGTTATATTTGTCAGTGTTTTATTTATGTATTTATTTTAAGTATTATAAGGGCCTTGAGGTATTTGGTTAAATTACATTTTTTCTAATTTTGTTTGTTTCTTTGTTTTTTTTTTGGCTGAATATATCAGATTTCATGGTATAGTACAAAAAAAATCTATGAAAGTGCAAGGGTAGTGAATGCTTTTTGTAGACATTTATCTTTGGTTGTCTATAGTGAGCCTTTAGTATATAGTCTAATTGCTGACATGCATAATTGCAGTTTTTTTTACATGCTATTTGTACTCTGTAGTTCAAGAACAGTTCAGTCTGAAATAACACATTGCAAAAATAAACAATTGCAAATCAGGCAGGGTCACCTGGGTGTGAAAGCTTACCAGTGGAACAATGCTTTGATTGGATAATTTTATTCACAGGAACTAAATGCTGTCTGTCATTGTTAGTGCCTATTCAAAAGTTCCTTAAGCCCACCAGTTCGATCTGATGTGAAGATGACAGAAAACAGAGTGCATTCAAGGTTTGAACAAGCAAGTTGAGCGTTTCCACCCCCTGAGGTTTTAAGACATATTTTGGAAGATCTTAAAGCTGTGTACTAAATAACATGCAACTGCATTCATTTACCTCTCTTGCTCTAGAGAGGTTTCAATAGACAAATCATAAAATGTGTCATAACGTATCTGCTGGATATTTGGAAGTGGAATGCATTTTGTAATGGCTGGTGGTGCCAGCCTGTAGCCCCAAGGAAGAGCAGGGGGTGGACAGGAATAGCAGCCCACTGGCCCATTTTATTCTGCCAATCAACAGAAGGCTTCTGGGTAACACTTTACAATAAGGTTCTATACTTAGTTAGTGCATTAGACATCATGAAAAAGCTATGAAAAATAGTTTTTACAGCATTTAACAGGGTTTATTGTTAGTTAATAGTGTATGATCTAATGTTAGCTTTTAGTGTTAAAATGTATTAGTAGGCTGTTTGTAGAAATTAATTTAAATAAACGGGCAATAATATATATTGTTTTTCCACAGGATGGACGGATTGAGTTCTCAGAGTTCATTCAGGCCCTGTCTGTGACCTCACGTGGGACTTTGGATGAAAAGCTCCGCTGTAAGCAAGCATTTAGTGCTGTTGCGATTAATCGCATCCAAAATAAAAGTTTTTGTTTACATAATATATGTGTGTGTGTACTGTGTATATTTATTATGTCTATATAAATACACACATACAGTATATATTTATATTATTTATATTACAGATAAATATATTTAATATTTAAACATATTTTTCTTAAATATATACATGTGTGTGTGTGTATTTATATAGATATACACAGTATTATATAGACATAATAAATATACACAGTACACACACATATATTATGTAAACAAAAACTTTTATTTTGGATGCGATTAATCGTTTGACAGCACTAATACATACATACTTTACAAGCCAAATTCTTCAAATTCTTCTTTATTCTTCAGACAATAATTTGAAGAATTTGGCTTGTAAATTATGTTAGTGCTTTATTTCTTTCAAATAAATATCACTTGGTTTGATATTTTATTATCAAATACCAAAAAATTCATACATTCATGAGTGAGGCTTAAGTGTCTGAATACTTTTGGGGGAACTGTGTTTTGTAAAACTGATTAAATGTGAAAATGACCTCAACGTATAACAACCAAAGCAATTTTCTCGCAGATACTAAACAGACTATTTTACATATACGGGTCGCGTACCGCCTCTTTCTCTGTTGACTCTTCACCCCAGGCACTGACCTGTGTTTGCACTCTGCTGTGTGAGTTGTAGGATTGCCTTTTTGTTGTAGATGAGTGGAATGAAGTAGGGCTGTATGGGTGGGACGTCCTGGAGTCCTGGAGTGAAGAGAAAACCATAGATGGCGAGATGAAAGAGTCGCTCTTCACTGCTGTAATTGCAGTGCAATGATTTGGCTCATACAAAGCATGCCTTTTTCACCCAATCCTGCATCTATCATTCCTTGTAGCGCTTATGTCTGCACTCTGCTAACATTGCTTTTCAATTCATAATCAAAAGAAATTAAACTCAGTCTACCAAGATGCCTGATGGTGCTTTTTTCAAGGTTTTAAAAAATTATAATATAGATAATTATATATAATAATATTATACATATAAATATATATATATATATATATATATATACACACACACACACAAAACAGCTCATTTTGCTGTTTGATATTGCAAACTGGTATTTCTTACCATATTATTTTAATGTATTATCTTAAATATAAACACACTGGTTTGTATTGCAAACAGTTTACTGTTTACTGCACTTAATATTCTCGTTATTTCCCTACAGCGGCTAATGAATCGGAAGTCTTGCACATTCACAGAAAAATTTTAGCAGCGTAGTATTTCTGCACACTCACCATGACTTCTTGTTACACGCTTTAGGGGCCTTCAAGCTTTATGATCTTGATAACGATGGCTATATCACACGTGATGAAATGCTCAATATCGTAGACGCAATCTATCAGATGGTGGTAAGTCACCGTTCATTTCAACTGTAACTATAGTCGGAACATATGGCATTCATTTAATGAGTAAAATCTCTCAGATGTCTTTAACATTACTTGCATTTTTTTAAGGGAAACACAGTGGACCTTCCAGAAGAAGAAAACACGCCGGAGAAGAGAGTGGATCGCATTTTTGCCATGATGGATAAAGTACGGATATGTCCTTTTTCTTCTTGACCCCAATCACACTGAACCAGTTAATAATCCAAACCAAAACCGAGTGTTATTGTGCAGCGGGCTGTTTATTTTATTCAATTAGTGGATTTATTTTATTTAATCTTTGGAAATCACTTAAGCAGACTAACTGCAAAATTATTCTTGGTTCTGCAAAAGAAAGAAATGTGCACTGATTTGTAATGACATGAGGGTGAATAAATAATGACAGAATTTTCATTTGTGGGTGGAATATTCCTTAAAAACTAAGGATTTTTATGCAGTCCAAACTCAACAGTAATGATTATCGATCAACCTTCACTAAAACCATCAAGAAAATGGCTAATTTATAGCTCTGTTACAATTTACTAACCACATTCTCATCATCAATCCAGTGCAGCAGATCAAGGATACAGTAGGGAATAAGAGCTCATATCTGTGGTAAAGCTTGCGTCACTAATGCTGCCCTCTGGTCTATAAACGCCATTTTGGCATGCGCTACTGCTAACATTGGAGCCTAGCATTAATGCCCACTCAAGCCCTCTTCAAGCCCTGAAAGATGAGATCAGGACTTGTTTGGGAATGTTGACAGAGATGGAATGCTTTCCAATACTGTAGCAATCTCAGCTCAGAACTGCACCCAATGAGGAACCAGTAGGGTTATTTTAAGGACTTCTTAACTTAAACTAACGCTTCTTCAAACAAGTACTACACTGAGCCACATAAGGTGAAAGAAACACTCGGTTGTGAATTTTCACTCAATGGATCAGCCTGTTAGCACTCGCCCCCTGCTGGGCATGTGGAGCATCTTAAAAGTGGGAGAGTGTTTTCCTCATGCATAATTGAAAATCCTCATGGCTGTTTTTTTTAGTATCCTCTAGTTTGTAAACTGATATAACCTTAAAGTCTATTCCACATTCGTTTGAAGTGTCATGCATTCGCGTATAACCACAAACAACCTTAAAATAACACATAGTTGTTTGTACTCAGCATTTGAGACAGTTGTGATTCTAAACAATGTTTGCTTGTTTACCCAGAATGCTGATGGGAAGCTGACCCTGCAGGAGTTCCAGGAGGGATCAAAGGCAGATCCCTCTATTGTCCAAGCTCTGTCACTCTATGATGGCCTTGTATAGTAACAGCTTGTCTTAAGGTTACAGGTATGTTGTGCTGAATAGAAATGCATCCTGCAGTTTCATTAAATCCTGTCTACAGTACATCCGATGTTTTACATATTATAATTATTTTAGTGTACTTTTATATTCATAATCATTGGCGTTCACTGTGTAAAGAGAAGAGTCACATAGTCCTTAGTAGCAGAAAACAGGGCATTTGTCCAAATATGATGCACCTATCACTCTCTTAAATTAGTTATTTAGGAGCTGTCTGCCGGTGAGTGCCAGGAAAAGGATATAGGAAGAGATATATCGATTGTGATTGTGATTGGTGATTGTTTTTAAATTTAGGATGTCCATTTTATGCTTTAGAGTTTTATAGCCTTTGCTGAATGACAGATAACTTCTATTAAGCCAGTAATTGGTGGAAAGACACTATTACTGTTATTTATGTGTTTCTGGCATTAAGATCATATCAAGGTCAGCTGTGCATTCATTTGCTGGCCTTATCTCACCTAATGGAAGTCATATTGTGTACTTGTGTACTAAAAACGTACAACAGCATTGAGCGAGAGGTGTACATCTTTCAGAATTGAATTGAAAAAGCCTTATATATGATTGAGTTTCTGAATTTAAACTTGAATTTGAGTTTTTCAATTTTTCAATTGTATTTTCAAAAACAATTTATGACATTAATAATTAAAGTTCTGTCTCTTATTATACGGTGGAAGAGCACTTTTTCCATGAACTCCATAATTTACTCATATTGAAGCATTTAATAGACTTGACAATTAACATCATTGTTTAATTATATTAATATATTTTATATTTATTAGGACTCAATGGATCTTTATAATAAATAGATTAAAAACAGTACATTGTATATTTTGTGGTGCTTTATGGCAAAATTGAAGTTTAATAACTAATTAATTGTTTCGACAGTATAGACATTTTAGAGAAAAGCAACATTAAGAGGAGCATGTAAATAAGTTGAGGAAAAAGTATATTCTACATTTTAAGGGATACGTAGAAATAAATAGTCAGTGATGGAATTATTTTTATATTGTTGCACAACTTGTGTTGAACTAATGAAAGTACAACTAATGAACTAATTAAAACTACAATTTAGTAAATTCCTCTTCCTGTCATTCCAATTTAAAATCAGTTTTGAACATCCTGTTGTTCACCAGCTGGGTTTCAACACAAACTCATGAATTGAAAGTGAGCTGTTTTTCTTAAAAGGATAGTTCACCCAAAAATGAAAATTCTGTCATTAATTACTCCCCCTCATGTTGTTCCAAACCCGTAAGACCTTCGTTCATCTTCGGAACACAAATTAAGATATTTTTGATGAAATACGAGAGCTTTCTGACCCTCCATAGACAGCAACACAACTACCACATTCAAGACCCATTCATTGTTGAATGAAGTCTTTCTTTTCGTTTTCTTTGCGCAGTTTTATCGTAGCTTCATAAAATTAAGGTTGAACCACTGATGGCACATGGACTATTTTAACAATGTTCTTGCTATCTTTCTGGGTCTTGAACGTGGTAGGTCTCTCGCTGTCTATGCAGGGTCAGAAAGCTCTCAGATTTCATAAAAAATATCTTAATTTGTGTTCCGAAGATGAACGAAGGTCTTACGGGTTTGGAACAACATGAGGGTGAGTAATTAATGACAGACTTCTCTTTTTTTGGGTGAACTATTCCTTTAAATAAAATTACCCATCCCTCACTGTGAGCATTTTCTAATGGTCGTTGTACAGGTACGGCAAAGGATCCAGTGCGGTGCCATCCCACAATGCCATTCTTCGTCATTTGACCTCTCATTCTGGACACTTAAGACTGAGAAGTCTCACCACAAGCAAATCACATTTCAGCCAACAATGACAGAAACGAAGAAGCTGTCATTCTGAAGCTTGTCTGTGTTTGTGTGCGCGCGCGTGTGTGTGTGAATGCTAAACTGCAGGATCCCATTGGAATTACACCAGTGCTTGTTTTCTGCCGAACAAACCTACTGGAGACTATATGGATGGCACTGATTGTTAAAGAAAAGCATGCTGAAAAACCTAAATTATAAATGTAAATATGTGTAAACATTTCATATTTTTTAATCATACTTTGCTGGGATATTGTGGATGTGCGCTTCATATATAATGTAAGGGACTGTTGATATTTTATTTATTTCTTGTTTACCTTAAAGTGTATGGATCGCAGCTGTTACAAGCCTCAACGTTTCTAAAAACCTCTTGGAATGAAAGACTGTAATCCTGTTTTGCTTTTTCTTTGGAACTTTGAATGTGAAAGGAGATTCATTTATTATATTTGCGATACACAGCTCCCATTGTGAAGAGTGCGCTGCCCATTCATTGCTGGCAGAGTCCTCAAGCTTCTTCCTAAACAAGGCACTGTAACCAAGCAACATGCTACACTGTTATTCCTGAACAGTTGCACCTCAAAACTGATGTAAGTACCTCTGTAATGAAGAAACAATCAGTCCACCATCTGCTAACTTCAACTACACCTCTGCCTTTGTCTTTTCCTGTCAAACAAAAGTCATAGACTTGAACTATGACACTCTCCTCTCAAAGCAAGTAATTGGGTATGTGCCGGGTGGGTTTGAGTGGTTCTCATGCTTTATCAGTCACTCTCTGGCTGATGATTAAATTTGAGTCACTGCATAATTGCCTCTAATGTTATTTGCCGTCGGTAAGTAAGATGGAGGTTTTAATATCTGATGTGTCCCCTCTTGATATTTCAACAATGGCTGCTTCCATTTTCATCACTGTGTGTGGTATGTGTAGAATTGCTGTGCTCATAATAGGACAGTGTTCCATAGGCTCACAGACCTTGAATTCCATCAGCACAATGGATTCGCTGGCACGCTTTCAAAACAATTCGCTGTGGGCAATGAATCCCTGAAGTAATTAATTTTGTCACCCTAAAGGAGCATAAATCAAATTCACCATACAAAACATATAAAATAGACATCTCACTCTCCATATGTGCCATTTTCAGAGAACCACAAGAGCACTGTTAAGATTTTTTTTTTTAATACATTTTTATTCAGCAAGGATGCATTAAATTGATAAAAAGTACAAGTAATGACAATTATAAAGTTTCAAAAGTTTTCTTTTTCATTTAAATTCTGTTGTATAATATATAACTCTATATTCATAAAAGAATTCTGAACGAAAATGTATCAGTTTCCACAAAAATATTAAGCAGCACAACTGCCTTCAACATTCATAATAATAAGAAATGTTTTTGCTCACCAAATCAGAATGATTTCTGCAGGATCATGTGACACTGAAAATTCAGCTTTGCCATCCCAAGAATAAATTACAATTTAAAACACAATCAAATGGACAATTATTTTAAATTGTAATAATACTTTACTTTTTTGTTTATTGTATTTCTCATCAAATAAATGCCGCATTGGTGAGCAAGAAATGTCTGTATATATGTACATATAATGTATTTAAAATGTATTTCAAATTGTATTATTAAAATAATCTATTAAAATGTATATATATATAAAATGTAATATATAAAATGTAAAGCATTAGTTAAAAATAATCTATTAAGATGTAATATTATTACTGATTATTGTTGCTTTTAAGAAATCATGAGAGAAAAAATAGGGAAAAATAAAATCTGCATATTTATGTCAAACAAATATAATCAGTCATCTCTCACACAGTATACATAGATCTCACATATAAAAAATATAGCAGCCTTTTTTAGAAAAAATTTGAGGTCCTTGTCATGAAAAAGTTGTATTGTATCATTTCAAATATGACTGAAGGTTTTTAGTTTTGTTTTGTTTTTTTGGCGATGCATAGCACTGCAACCTTGCAACAGTTCATGAAGGCACACAAGGGTTTTAGGTATCAGCCAAGTCTTGTGATGGCTTGTTGCTGCCTCTTGAAAGTTCATGCCTAGCCCTGCAGTAATGGAGCTCTCATTGTGCGTCTATGGCACGTCTTCTGTTTCATTATGCGGTACTCAAGGCCGGTGGCCCAATCAACACGACATCTGGGGCTTCTGAATCAACAATAACTAAAAGGGTTCTCGCTGACTAAAGTAAGACAGACCCCACGCTCAGCTCGCAGGCTTAGTTTCCGGATCCAGCACTAAAACAAAACGGACTTCACACCCTAGTCACACGGGACAGCTAGAGAATAACAGTGAATAGAGGAGCAGAGGAATGTATGTTTCGCACAGGCACGAATTGTTACATGAAGGGTCATAAACATGGTTTTTGCAGTGAGGTCTGGATTATTTATCCCACATTGTTAAGTGCAGCGGGTGATGAACCGGCTGTTTGGAAAAATGAGAAGGCTTGGAAGGATGCAGGCAAACAGCATGAGTATTTCATTTTAACAGACGCACTGTTTTTCTAATGGTAAACTGATATGGAAATATGATAAACGTTTTATTAATCTTTTCATTAACATTTTGCTTTCAATTTAAAATGTTTCCATGACTGTTAAGTTAAGGGATAGTTAACCCAGAATTCAGCATTTGCTCACCGTCATATTCCAAACCTGACTTTCTTTCTTCAGGGGAACACAAAAGAAGATATTTTGAAGAATGTTTCAACTTTTTCAATACAGTATAATGAAACTGAAACAACAACACTACATTCTGATCGATCCTGTTGACTTTCACTGTACAGACTTTAAAAAGTGGGATATTTCTCGAAATATCTTCTTTTTGCAGAAGTAATGGAACGACATGAGGGTGAGTAAATAATGACAGAAATACTATGGAACTCAGTGGCTACCAATAACTGTTTTGTTACCAATATCTTCAGTTTGTGTTCAACAAAAGAAACTCATACAGGTTTGGAACAACTTGAGGGCAAATGAATGACAGAATTTTCATTCATTCAATTTTTGGGTGAACTATCCCTTTAAAAATAAAGGTTCTTTATTGGCATCTATGGTTCCTCGAAGAACCTTTAACATCTACAGAACTTTTCCATTGCACAAAAGTGCCTTATAGTTAAAGTATAGTTAAAATGTCCTTCACACTGAGAAAAAAAAATGGTTCTGTTAAAAACTGTTCACTGACAGATTCTTTGGGGAACCCAAAATGGTTCTATGACAATAATGCAAAAAAAAAAACAAGTTTAGAACCTTTATTTTAAACAGTGCTATAGTAAAGACTTCTGCAATGACCAAACATAACTATATGCCCATGCTGAAGATGAAATCATTTCCTAAGTTCAATGTCTTTGAATGGCATTGTGTTATTTGGCAAGGCTATTTGGGTGCATCTTGATCATTTGACCAACCATGTGCTGACCTGAGAGCAAATTTCTTGTTGGTTTTAGATCAAATTATCGCAGAAACATCATCTGTATACTGTCATAAAGCCTATGCTATTTCTTTTTGGTGTCGTTCCAGAAAAATCTAAAGGCTACCATGTAAATAGTACTGACTGCTTACTGGGTCATTGACATCCTCAAAGACCTCCTTTCCTTCCTTTTTTGTAATGTTCTGTTATCAACTTGACAGCATTTGCTGCCTCGCTATCAAGTTAAAGCAACAATAAATGACATTATGACCATAAGCTACGTGAGGATTGATTGATGTATCTGAGAATTACTGATAGCAGCATAATTTATCCGGATATACAAAGGGGTCGAGGCGTATCCGGAGTCTTTCCTTTCAGAAAGCATCTGGGATGCCTCTACTGGAGCCTTGTCATTTATGCCACACGTTAAACCGAGTCCAGAGAATAGCATGTATATTATTAGCTGTGTAGCAGCTGAGTATAAACTCACTCTATTAATAAACCTAAAATTATTTCAACCCTATCCATACACTAAATATTCCTCCCAAGAAGAATGTAAGAAAGGTTGGGGCTAGTTGTCACAAAGGCCATATTTTAGTATCTGTTATGTTTGGGTCTAGTAATTTCGAGTGCATGTTTTCTCTATTTTCGGTTTTGTATGTTAGTTTCAGAATGCTTGTAAATTAGAATAAACCAAACCACACTGGCATACATTCTGTTATAAGTCGATTATTTTAACTGAAAGTTTGAAAGGTCTTTTTAGGACAAGGGTATTTTTCATAAATAATAATTTAAATAAAACATAATGTAATCAACTGTTTAATTTTAATACTATTTAAAATGATTTGTTATTACGTTATTTCGTTAATTACATATTCGTTGTACTGTTTAAATGTAGGTTACAAGTCTATAATAAGCTGTTTAATAGTATAGGTTAATTTGTGACAACATGTTTTCAATGTCTGTTGAACATACTGTATCTTTTTTTTTCCAGTGAAATAACAGTGGAACCTCTTTCTTTTAGCCAAGACTTTTAAGGTATGTGTCTACTCAGGGACTTTCAAAATGAAACCTCAGAAATATTTACTAGAGTAAACAAAGACAACTTGCCCCACAGTGTCATCAGTTCCTCCAGTCACACTTTACATTACAGTGTCAACAAAGTAGTGTTATTAAGTAATTGCATAAGTGCTGAGCAACACTAATTCTGATAAACATCATATGTTTTGTAGTAGAGCTGCCTGTCAGACTTTGTTATTAGTTTGTAGAAGATGGGCACAACAATATACCTTGTTATACAGTAGTTCAATCTCTCTCATGGCAGTTGGCACGGGTTTCTTGAGTAGCTCCCTGTTAAACTGGAGCAGGCCATGTGGGATGGGGTTGGGAGTCACAGTCGGGTCAAGTTACATACAAAAAAAATCAGGTTGTAAGGACTCCTCACACCCCTCCCCAACACTGCAGTGTTCAGCTCCAGAGGGTCCACGCGCTTCTTACAAGTTTTCTCCGAAACTCAACCAAGGATGGGACAAGACGCAGGGAATTTACTCCATGTAGCGTTTGTCCAGCGCGAGTAGGATTATTTACATTCGAACTTTTTTCCCCTAACTCTTTAGGGACAATTTAAAACTTTTTTTTTTGTTGTAAATTAACTGATTATCTTTTTTCTCCCACAATCACTTGGTTTACATCTTTTACATTTTTTAATAATTCGTTTTTACGGTTATTTCTTCATATGACTCGTTTAAATAGAGGTCTAATGAATTTCAAGCAAGAATGAATCAGTTTATCGTTAGTTTCCTAATTTTGGCGCTGACCACCAGCGCGCTCTCCTCATCCGTCTCGCCGGAGAAGAGACACTCCGGCGCGGATGACAGCGCCTCAACACTGGCCTTTGTCTTCGATGTTACCGGCTCTATGTACGACGATCTCAAACAGGTGATAGATGGTGCTTCTCGGATCTTGGAGAGAACCCTGAGCCGCAGAACAAGACCAATCAAGAACTTCGTGCTGGTTCCTTTCCATGATCCAGGTAGTTGCACAATCCTATATTTCTGCTTTATTATTAAAGTCAATTATAAATGATCCATGTCAGTTACTTTACCTCATATAAGTGATTCCGTAGAATAAATAACTTCTGACTGGAGTAACACTTGATGAAGTTTGTGAGGCCAAGCATTAAAGAATGTCTGGGAACTAATATGAATAAAGGTGTTCGGGCTGCTAGGAACATCTTCACCACCAGGGACCGCTGAAAGGTAGTGATCCATGGCATCATGGAGTGATGTTTAAAGATGCACTGTCAGTTTTTGTGTGTTTTAGTATGTTTTATTCTACATGTAGCAGGTTGCCCTCTCATGGGAGCCACCATGTTAACATCACATGGTCAACTAGTTATGACCAAGTTACTACTACTACTATGACAAAAATAATAACATGATTACTTTATATTTAAAGAAACAGGATGGTATGAAAGGAATAGGAAAAAAAATAAACCCATGTAACAGCACAAATCACCAACAATGTTGACATTTAATCCAATAATGTCCATTTACATTAAATCAAGAAAAACACACAACGTGAAACAAAAGATAAACAAACAGTTTTGGTGTGAAATGTCAGCAGTTAGTAAAGGCATCCAGGCCAATGGGTGTCAGGCCAACTGGCTATAGTCAGGTTAGCAATGCCATGCCATATTGAATTTAATGTTGAAGAAAATGAGGCTGCGAGGGAAAGACTTGCAGTCGTTACAGTAACATGCGTTGATTTTTGATTTTTTTCCCACTAAGACATTTCGTCAGCTGCACAGTTCGTGTGCTGTCAAACAACAGTACTACCCTGTGCTACCCTGACTAAAATCCATAAGCTACATATTAACAAAACTCACTGAGTGCACCTTTAAGCAGCAGGACTGTATTTTATTTTTGCCATTTACATTTTGTTCAGTGAATTTTGAGCAGGTTAATCTGCAAATCATGTCATCATTTTTCTGTCTATTACTGAATGTTTGTCATGCTCATGAAATCTGTTTAAATTCCACATCTGGTCACAGACTGCAGAGAGAATACTGTGTTCTCAGGTATGCTTACACAATGTAACCTAGTTCAAACCAGCTATCTGTTAGCCTTGGGGGGGCAGGGTGCCCAAGGAGCTGATGAGAAGCACATGTTGTCTGGTAGTATGTAATTAACACAATCACCCCCAGTCCTCCATCCAATTCTCCGGAAGATTCAACCCAGCCCCCCAGTCAGAGGAGAGACGTCAGTCCTAGACTGGTAGGGGGATGGTGACAGTCCTTCCCTCACCTTTTAATGTGGCCTTCCCTTGGGGACCTTGTAAACTGCTGAGATCACAAAGACAGACAGAAAGGCGTTACAGAAACACAACTTAATGGCCCCACACAGCCGAGAGAGGGATGGAGAAAGTGCAGAAAATGAAAATGAATGTTAGAACTGGGTGCATTGCTGCTTGAGTACATTAGTATTTGTGTTTGTGTTTCGAACCCTGCTGGAAGAAACTAAACCAGCTTCAGTTGGTTTGCTGGTCTTAGCTGGTTTAAGCTAGTCTAGCTACTCTCTCAAGCGGCCAGCCTATGCTTGTTTACAGCTGAGAATGTTATATTAATATTGATATTAATGTTGATAAAATATCATTAATATATATTGTAAAATATAATAGTACATGTTCAAACATCCTAAACCAGCCTTAGTTGGTTTGCTGGTCTTAGCTGGTTTAAACTGGTTTAGCTGCTATTTCAAGTCCGTTTACAGTTGGTTAAACTAGTTTGATGTTTACAACTTCCCCAAACCCCACTAAACTAGCAAAACAGACCAGCCTATGCTTGTTTACAGCTGAGGATGTTATATTAATATTGATATTAATGTTGATAAAATGACCTTAATATTAATTTTTATTTTTAATATAATTTAATATAATAGTACAAGTTTAAAAAACCTAAACCAGCCTTAGTTGGTTTGCTGATTTTAGCTGGTTTAAGCTGGTTTAGCTGTGCCTCCAAGCCAGTTGACAGATGGTTTAACTAGTTTTATGTTTACAATTTACCCAAACACCTCTTAACTAGCAAAACAGACCAGCTTGACCATGCTATGCTAGTTTTAAGCAGAGAATGTTTCTAAAATAATAATATCAAATAATATTAATTTTTATAACATATTCTCAATATAATATAATATAATATAATATAATATAATATAATATACAGACTGAAACAAACACTAAATCAGCCTTAGTTGGTTTGCTGGTCTTAACTGGTTTAAGCTGGTTCAAGCTGATTTAGAGATGGGTTGCACTGATTTTAAGTGCACTGGTTTTAAACCAAAAAAATAATTAAATGCTTTTTTTTCAGCATAGCCTGATTTTGTAATATTAATATTAATATTGACAAAATCATTAATGTAAGTATTTATAATGTATTATTATTATTTCTAATGTAATGTAACACAAAATTTGGATTCAATATAAAGTTTGTTGGCATTCAGTGCCGAAGATCATAACTTAAATGTTTTTTTTATTAAATAATGGTGTATTGATCTGTCCGATTCACTCTCAGAAGAAGATATACTTTTCCTCAGACATATTCCAAATTTTTCTCTTTTGTTCATTTTCCCAAAGCACTGTCAAATTGTAATCCACCTCTTTGTCTTCTATTTTTTAATAACTTTTAAAATTATATATGTATTTTTTTTTTTTTTTTTTTTGGGCAAAGTAATAAACCATATGGGATATCTGACCCATACTCAGATCATAAACAATACATCTTCTTTATGCTTTTTCATCCATGTGCCATATATTCAGCTCTCTAATCAATCAGCTTCTGAGTGAGTCCAAACAAGTGCCAAATTCAGGGAGGACACAATTCATCCATAGACGAATGAATGGGAGAGATAGACACAAGAGATATAGTAGTGAAAGGGGAAGAGGTCAGAGATTATCTAGGTGGATGATGACAATCTTAAACAATGATGCAATGAGGTTATGCACCCAGTCTGGTATTGCATGAGGACTGCTGGAATTTTGCATGGTCTTTAATTTATTGTCTGAGCTGTCAAAAGTTTCAAGACAGTCATTTGTATCCGCAGATGTTGATGAGGCAGAATCCGGGACAAATGTGTTTTGTGATTAGGAGTTGGCTGGGTCTGTAGCTAGTTTGTTAGTCTGATCTAGAGACAGTCATTAGTAGGGTCATATCTGTGGAAGAAGCTTTGGTTGTACCTAATCCACACTGTTTAAAACTCTTTAATGAGGGTGAAGAAGGTTCATCTTGTAAAAACTCCTGCTCCCCAGGGATATGCTTGTTGAAGTGTTGTGATAGACTTTCCAAAACTATGCTCACGTAAAGCCTTTTTAAAGCTTTTGTACACAATTAATATGTAATGTAGATGTTTCTTAATTTCTTGTTTTTCCTCTCCAGACATTGGTCCTGTTTCCATCACAACTGATCCCAAGAAGTTCCAGAAGGATCTTCAAGAGCTGTTTGTTCAGGTGGGCACCAGTCGAGAATGAAAAAAAAAAACCTATGTTGTAAGGATTAGTCTTTTTTTTTTTTATGGGATCCAGTAATCATATGAAAAGTCAAGTTATTTGATAGGGGTTCATTAATATTAGTTGTTTTACTGGTCCTAGCTGTTTTAAACTGGTCAAGCTATTCTTCCAAGCTGATTTACGGATGGTTTAAAGGGGTCATATGATGTTGCTAAAAAGAACATTATTTTGTGTATTTGGTGTAATGAAATGTGTTTATGCGGTTTAAGGTTCAAAAAACACATTATTTTCCACATACTGTACAGCAGTGGTCACCAACCTTTTTAAGCCCAAGATCCCTGAACTCGGCCTTTATGAAAGACAAGATCTACCTATTGAAGAATTGATAGAAAAAGACATCCCAGATTGTACTTCAAATTTGAGGTCTTTTACTTAGTATTTTAATTAGTGATGCTCCGATCATAGCTGATTCAGAATTCAGATTTTTTTTTCTTTCTTTCTTTTTTTTTTTAACTAGCAAACTGGCTGATTCTGATACTGATATTTAAACAAATTTATTTATTGGCTATTTGCTTTATAACAAACAAACTGGCTTCAAACAAAAATATCTAGCCGTTTGAAATTAGAGGCAACCACTGCATTTTAATCACGATCTGCACGGGCAGTTGTTTTTTATTTGATTTAGATTAATTTCAGGATTTAAAACAAAAAAAGAATGGTCTGACTTTAGGTGTTATTTATTTATTTGCTACATAAAACATCTGCACGAAACAAAAACAACAGGGCTGCGTTCAGCCCCGACAAAAACGGTGCAAACGTTTTTTAAA